GTAAGTTTACTTTATAGTCCAACCTTTTAATAAATAGGTTTAATATATGTTATAGTGCCCCAGAAAGGTTACCTGACTCTCAAAGGTGTCAGAGACACACCGAAGAATTTCCTGATTCCCAATAATACTCCATAATGCTATACCTGCTCTGGCAGTGCAACCTTGATAGCTGGGAGCTGCTTTTAAATTCTACAGTCAGCGACACAGCTGTAGAAGCCCTGTGTTGTCTATTCAGGAATGTAGATCTTGAAATGCCAAAAGTGATTAAAAAAAAAAATATACTTCCCCTTTCTTCAACCAATATAGGGATCCTACTTACAGAGAATAAACTATGTACCAAGGCTATATACCCTGAATTCTTACTCTTGTCTATCTTTTATATAAAGACAATTCTTGTCTATCTTTTATACTTACCAATTTATCAGTCCCGTGATCTGTCTTCACCTCAGAACTAAGTGGAAGAAATAAGTCTGCTGTTGTATGCTCTGGGGGAGGTGCCTCCCCAAGAACTATCAACCCCTGCAGGATAGAGAGGAGAGAAACCGCATAAATGAGTGTTATAAATTACAAATTTAATTTAGGAGTTAATCTCAAAAGCACTGGGGTTGGTTTACCAGAGACCTTTTCCCTTATCCTGTGGTTCAGAAACAAACTATGCTGGCAGCAGCTTTACTTCTCCCCCCAAAAGTCATCTGAACAAAAGACCTAGCAGAAGCAGAGTATTTACCAAGGCATAATACTCAGACCCAAGGTTCCTCTCTCTTCCACTTGCATGTCACTTACATGTCTTGTTAGCCATTTAGCATCTTTATGCAGATCTGCTAGATCTGGAATCTTACCAGATTATGGTACTTCAACTAGACTCTACTGGATTAACAGCAGCAACGCAGTTTTTCTACTTATCTTTATCATGGATGTGGCTTAAGAATTACTAAACTTAAAGTGCTATTATTCTAAATCATGAGCTCAACCAACTGTACCTGAACAAACAAAACAACTGAGTGAGGCAGGGCATGGTGGCTCATGCCTGTAATTCTAGTATTTTGGGAGGCGGAACAACTGCTTAAGGCCAAGAGTTTGAGACCAGCCTGAACAAGAGTGAGACCTCATCTCTACCAAAAAATAGAAAAATTAGCTGGTCATGGTGGTACACACCTGTAGTCCCAGCTACTAAGGAGGCTGAGGCAAGAGGATGGCTGGAGCCCAGGAGTATGAGGCTACAGTGAGCTATGATGATCCCACTGCACTCTAGCCCAGGTGAGAGAGCAAGACCCTGTCTCAAAAAAACAAAAACCAACCAAACAAACAAAAACACAACTAAGTGAAACAAAGGTGGAACAGTCCCCTGCAATTTATTAGAAGCCAAGAGCTTCTAAAATACTGCACCACAGGCATCTGTTGCTCACAAGCATAAATATTACCTCAGGTTAAGTTCCTGCTTGACAATCCTGAATCCGTATCTTACATTCATCCCAGGAAATAATAAAAAATGTAAAAAGAAATTAAAAACAAGCCCACAAATCCTCTCCATAGTAGGTATAATGAGTCCAGCTTGGTAAAGGCATAACTTAGTTTACTATGAAAATAATAAACAACAAATATCACACATGAATCCCTCTATGAATGAAAGAAGAGGTGACCAAAATCACTTTATGACACTGTGTAACAGAAAAGCTGGGCAGAAAGGCAAGTGACCAGGGCTCCCAATCTCTTTCTCTGGTCTAGAAAATAAAGAGATCTAACTAGATTAAGAAGCTTTTAATGGCAATTTTGTATTCGAATCAGCTGGGGAAACTCACAGACTGTACTTGCCCATGTCCAACATCAAATCTACTCAGTACTTCCGGGGGTGGGGCTGGATATTTTACATTCTTAAAAACTCCCCTGTTAAGTCCTAATGTGAGCTCTAAATTGAAAAATATTAGACTTGATCAGTTTTGGCTCTCCATCAGAATCCCTCTGAGAACATCCTAAAAGTGTAGATTTCAGGGCCTAGAGATTCTGACTATATTAGTCTGAACTCCCTAGGCCATTGTGAGCCACTGAACCAGATGATACATCTCTCGGGTCCTTTCTAACTCAAAAATCTCTATGAAATAGGGGATATAAAGAGATGAAAAAGGGGGGAAAGATATTAAGAAAAGAAAATGGAATTTTATCTCAGTTTTTTAAAAAAGGATACAAAATATACCTTTCCCTCCCCCCTGAAAGCAAGAGAAACACCCCCCACTACTCTGGAATAAGACTACACCTAGCCTATGTAGAAAAATGAAGACTCCTCAGAAACAAAGATAAAGGCCATTAACTAATAAGCAAAAAAAAAAAAAGTTTATGCTACCCTTCAAAATGAGGTTTCTCTAGTTAAGAGAACTTCCTTTTTTTTTTTCTTTTGAAACAAAGTCTCACTCTGTTCCCCTGGCTAGAGTGCCACAGTATCAGCCTAGCTCGCGGCAACCTCAAACTCCTGGGCTCAAGCGATCCTCCTGTCTCAGCCTCCTGAGTAGTGGGGACTACAGGCGTGAGGCACCACAGCGGCTGATTTTTCCTATTTTTAGTAGAGATGGGTCTGACTCTTGCTTAGGCTGGTCTTGAACTCCTGACCTCAAGTGATCCTCCCGCCTCAGCCTCCCAGAGTGCTAAGATTACAAGTGTGAGCCACTGTTAAGAGAACTGCTTCAAAATATTTTCTTCCCTCAATCACAAGCATAAAATAGACCTTACAAACTTTACCATTTCAAAGTAAAAACTATTTGCAAAAGCCAGCTATCTTGCATACTATTACCTCCTCAAAACACTGCATTCAACAGATATTCCCTGCTTTAGAGCCCAAATTTCCTCCCCATTTCCTGTATAAAGCAAGCCCAAACTCATCTTGGTATTCAAAGTTGCCCCAGAAGGCTGGGAACAGAAGCTCACACCTATAATTCCAGCACCCTGGGAGGCGGAGGCTCCCTTGAGGCTAGGAGTCTGAAACCAGCCTAGGCCACATAGCCAGACCCTGCCTCTACATGAAATTTAAAAATTAGCTAGAGGTGGTGGCACGTGCCTATAGTCCTAGCTACTTGGGAGGCTGAGAGGGGAGGATCACATGAGCCCAGGAGTTTGAGGTTGCAGTGAGCTATGATCAGGCGGCTGCCCTCTAGGCTGGGTGACACAGTGAGACCTTGTCTCTAAAAAGAAAATAAATAAAATTAACAAAGTTGCCCTACAATCTGTCCCTATCTTATTTATCTATTTCCAACTACTTTCCTCAAATATTTCTGGTGTTATATCAATCTCATTATCTCCTAGATAAATGTTAGAATGTATGTGAAGTTGTTGCTGTTGTAGGTGAGGGTTATTAGTCAGTAGAAAGCAAATAAACTGAATTAACACATTGACTGCCATGGGAGTTGTATTTATTAACTCATGATAGTTTTGAGACCTTGTGAAGCATATGTAACTTACACATCTCTTCACCTTACAAGCCACGAGAACTATTTTTCAAGTTGCATATAACTCATGCACAGAAAACAATAAAAAATAAACTTTTTATTAAATTAGAAAGCACTGTTTTGCTTTCAAAGTTTTTATTCTATTTTTATAATAAAACACCGCAGCCCCAAGGAAAGACATTTTTTCTAGTGTGGTAATGTGTTAAAAGTTACAACACTACCTATTCCTATGTCTTTCTTCATACTCGTTCTTATGTTTTATCAGTCCGAATTGCCATTCATCCTTCTAAAGAGATTTTCAAGTCCAAGTCCCACCTGCTTCCAAGAAAAACTCCCCGATTAAGCAAGTGCCCACTTGCTTTAGTCACACTGCCGGACTTCTTAAACTATGATGATTGTATCTTACAGTCTGTGTATCTAAATCTCATTTCCAAAGCAGGCCCTTATGCCAAATTATTCAATTATTGCCTCAATTTGTTGTTTAAATATTAATTAATGATAAGCTCCTTGACGATCTGGACAAAATACATTTGAATTCCTCATATCATACAGAGTCATACACCAAGAAATGAAATGCATAACAAATATTTGTTGAATTTTAGGTTAAAAGTTATTTCCTAAAAGGAAAATATTAAGTTTACAATAATTATAGCCAGAAGGCTAAGTAAATCAAACTGTTAGGTATAAAATATCTCCTTCAATTTTTTTAACAGTACTTTTGAGTTGCTGTTACACAAATTTTTTTTTAAGGTATACAAAAGTCAAGACACAATAACCAATATTTCCAGAGGGAAGAATTTTTCCTTAAATTACAAAATACTTTCTAAAAACACCCCTCAGAGAGACTATGAAGACACCTTTCTGAGAAAGCATTATAAAACTTGGTAAGAATCATCTAATTTTCCCATCATTTTATAGACCCACAGAGGATGTGGGCTGAAGGTTATGTCTCAATAGGCCAATTCATGGTAGAACTACAGCTAAAGGCTGGGTCTAACTGCTATTTTGTTTTTCTCTTGTTCATTTAAATTAATCATTTATCCATTCATTGATATTTTTTTGGTGTTAAAGATACAAGAAAAAAGAATAGACCCATCCTCCTTCCTCCCCCTCCCCCAGGCTATCCATCAAAGTGTTTATTACGTTCTAACATTGGAACAAAAACAAACAACAAACAATATGAATAGGTAAATGTTACAGAGCACATTTGAAGGTGTTAAATGCTAGAGAGAGCGAGATCTTGCAGGACCTTATAACTTATGAGTATTTTGGGCTTTTATTCTTGGATGGGAAGTCACTGGAGAGTTTTAAGCAGAGGGGAGAAATGATCTGACTTATGGATGGTTTAAAAGGATCAAGCTAGCTTTTGTGGTCACATAAAGAGTGAGGGACAGAGAAGCAGAAAGAACAATTGCTTGGACAAAATAAGTTGGCCTCTGGATATATATTTGAAGACAGAATCACCCAGCTTTGCAAACGTGCTTCAGGATGGAAGGGAGTTAGAGACCCTGCCAAGGTTTCTGGCCTTCGCAATGAGAAGAATGGAGCTCCCCTTCATCTCTTCGGAGGTCTTTTGAATAACATTAGTTTTAGTTAAACCTACTTTTGTGAATATGTGCTCAAGCACTACATTGATACAACTAAGGGTCATCCATACAATGTTTCCCCTCTCTGCCAAAATATGTAAATTCACTATAGCATACAAAAACAAACACTAGGGTCCTTTAATTTATACAGTACCTCATCAAAAAGGACAAAAATAGCTAAGAAGAGGGTAAGCAAATAAAAAGCATCCAACTAGCTAAAATTCATTCATGCAGGTAACATTTACTGAGTGGTTACCATGCTCAGGACAGTCTGGAACCCTAAGAATAAGGAAAAAAAAAATAAAAGTGATGTGAGAGCAGAAAAGAAGTAGAGCCTAACCGAAAAGACTGATAGAAGTGAGGCTTTACAGAGATCTATATAATTAAATATTCCCT